CCCCCCCGGAAACCAAACGAGCAGGGAGGCCATGTTAGTGAGCACTGAGACTTGATGTCGTGTTCCATGATAGTTTTCGCGGGAGTAACATCCCGAACCAACCCGCGTCCCGGGGAGTTGCTCTGCGTGCTCGGTTTGGTTGGGCTTTGCCCGGTTGTGAGAATCACCAACGATTCAGTCTTGGCTTCTTGTGGTGCAGATTGGTGGGCTTCTCGTCATGGTGCTGCGCCGTGATTTGTGTTGGCCAGTTTTCCGCGTAGCGTTGGCTCATTGCGCTTGGCTGCTTGCGGTCCCTGTCCACCTCTGGCCTTCTGGTGCTTTTTCGAGTCGGTTCTTGGCTTTTCCCCTATTTTTGTGGTTGGTTGTTTGGGTCTCTTGCTCGCCTACAGTACTACCATGGTACGGTTTGTAGCGGGTCACCTCGGTGGCCCCTGCATTGGTGTATGGCCCGTATTTTTGTGGTTGCCACACGATCAAGTTCATCATCATTGCCAAGGTCATAACTGCAGTTTTCTGTGAGTCAGCCATTGAGAGTGCTCAAAGCGATCAGTTCACAGTTGTTCAGTCGATTTTGGCCGACAAAGAGAACCATCTGCAGAAGGCCATGGCCAGGGAGCATGCGAAACCGGAGAGATTTGGTGCACAAAAACAGAGGACACGATTTGAGAATATTTTGCAAAACAAAGAAAGCACTGAACGCACAGATGCTTTTGCGTGACACTAGCGTATGTTTTGGTAAGCCCTCGAGCGCTAGGAAATGCGTGTGCCAGGTGCGGAATTTGTTTGCGCGGTTGGGGGCAAACGCAGACAGTGGTTCAATCACATTTTCTATGCTGGAATCACAGATCAACTCTCCGGCTGTGGCCTAGACATCTTTAGAATATTTTAGAATTTGGTTTTCCGTTTTGCATGCATTCGTTCAGACTCTACGTTTTGTTTGTCAGTTTGTTCTCTTCCCACCTGTCATTTTTAAATCCCAAAGCATTTCGATTTCGTGCAGGTTCAAAATATGCGAGGGTGTTTTGGTATTAAAGTCATTTCAGGTCTGGCAATTCTATGTGGTGGGTTGTTGAAGTTGGGTTATTGCTGAACACATAGATATTGGGGCCCATGTCAGGCGTGAAACTTTTCAAAACAAACAGTACTATGTTTGAACAAGCACCTTGATGGACTACTGTAATTAAGCCCAAAGACAAAAAACAGGTACAAACTGACAAACGATCCTTTTCGAGTTGTTTTTCTTTTCTTTTGATGATAGCGACAAAAATCGAACCAAAAACCGAACTAAACACAAACACAGACACAGACACCAAACAACCAACCAACCAACCAACCAACCAACCAACCAAGCAAGCAAGCAAGCAAGCAAGCAAGCAACCAAGCAACCAAGCAACCAAGCAAGTAAGCAAGCAAGCAAGCAAGCAACCAAGCAATCAAGCAATCAAGCAACCAAGCAACCAAGCAACCAAGCAACCACGCAACCAAGCAACCAAGCAAGCAAGCAAGCAAGCAACCAACCAACCAACCAACCACCCACCACCAGGAGGAGGAGGGGAGGAGGAGGAGGATATAATTATGCGCCACCATCATTGTTACAAGAATTACCACGGATTTCATGATTCATGTGGTAAAACATATGTACACAGCCACTGGCACCAGGTTTTGATCTACATTTCATTGTGTATAGGGGTGGTCGGTGCATAAGACCATGCAAACCTTTCTCAGCCTGTGTGGTCGCATGCTTTTCCCGCCAAGGTACATGAATACTTTACGTCATTAGGCCTCGACATTTGGGATGCTTGGACATTTTTTAGGCTCTTGGATGCAGATGGTGGTGGGGAGGCAGGGCAGGAGGGCAGGGCAGAACATGATCAATTCGCAGTGTCTTTGTTCTTCATCATTCACGATCTTGTTTCTTTATGATTCTTTTAATTCTTTTGCTCAGAAGAGCTTGAGCAGTTGGTTGTGCGACGTGCGGACCGCGCAGGTAGAAGTCGAAGAATTTCTGATGGGTTGCCTGCGTTTGCGCGGACCAGCCACGGCTATTGACATGGGCAAGGTTCTTCGAGACCAGAACTGGGTCGTTCAAACACTAGGCACGAAGCTTCGTCCATTTTGCTTTGGAGTTGTGTGGGAGGTGTGGACAGAGTTTCCAAGCAGAACTGTTTAGTTCCGGGAAGTAATGGAGAGCTAACGTAGTACCACCCAAAGAAACAACAAAAGTATCGCACGTTCGCATGTCATGTCGTGTTGACAAGCGTGGTTCTTCCAGGACGCTTCAGCGCCTACGTGGAAGGTGAACTCCAACATGTCAAGCTGATGTTGCTTGGCACCGTTGACTTTCGTCGTTCACAAGTGGTCGCCAGAGTCAGGTTACCACGTCCAAACGTGGTACTTGTGTCGGGAATGGTTGCGGTACTTGTCCTGCTCAGCAAAGGCTAGCCGTTGACACCTGGGAGCCTACCAGCTCAAAGCAACTGTGTCTCAGTCGTCTCGTCTCGTGTCTCATCCGGTTTGATGTCGAGGCTAGAAGCTGAACGGTCCTCTCCAGATCGCGGTACCAGGTAACCTTCGTGAGTTTCTCTTAATGATCCTGCTGATTGCAGAGTATGAGAGTCTTCGATTTGCCAAGCATTCGAAACTCTATTTGTGTGTCATGCAGTTTCATCACCGAGAAGCACCACCGAGAAACAAGAACAAGGGGGGTTTCATTTCACTAGTGAGTAGCGGAAACCGAGAAGCAAGACCAAGGGGGTTTCTTTATTTCACTAGTGAGTAGCGGGCAGCTGATTGTGGCAGAACTTTGACATGATCAGAAAGACCCAGTGGTGATGAAGCAACACATGAGCATGAACAACTAGTGAAGGAATGTCGGCAGCGTACGATCAAAAGTCGTTGCTTAGAAGGCCTGGGAGCATCCAATAGAATTCACAAAGGTCTTTTGCTCTGACAAAAGTGACCGTGAAGAACCTCATGAATCACGAAGTACTGAAGCTCCTTATTTGAATGTGACATGATGCTCCGGAATATGGCTGGTGTTGCTCCCTTTCATGGCTTTCTTCACAAGGCAGGGCACCCCCTTGTGTCATCTCATCAGGGCCTTGTGGTGATCCGTTCCCTCATGGGAACTGGATGAACTCCAGATGACCTTCGGCTTCAGACCTCGTTCGTCGAAAAGAGAACGACCTCGTTACGGTACGTCCTCGACGGTCTCGACGGGTCCGGGGGGACCGGAACGGGACGACGGGTCCGGGTCGGAGGGAGGAGGGAAGAGGGAAGGGTCGGCGCTCGCTTTGGCTCGTGGTGATCTGAGACAAGTCCTTGCCTGGCCTGTTTTGCACACACACAGAGGTGGTTCATTGTTGCTTGAGATGCCATGAGGTGCTTACCCCTGGCTTTTTTGGGTCAAGAACATTGGCCTGCCAGTAAGGTGATGCAAGGACGACCAGGCTGATGTTCACCACACCATTCACCCAGATGAACCACACTGATGTTGAAATGATCCAACCGTCCTACAGGGTTGTTGACATGTGTCCTTCCCCAATGAACAACTAGCAAAAGCGCTGTAGCCTGTGGGTGCTCTTCGACGATGGCATCGACTGGCAGAGAGGGGAGCATAGGCCATGCGCAGCAAAGAGAGGCCGACATGGGACTCACTTCGGCTAATTCTAGGCATGGAACAAACAATTGTCAGGAGAGCTTTTTTGCAGTTTGAACATGTTTGAACAAGCTTGTCTTTTCCAAGGGACCAAGACTAAGTTGGAAACTTGTTGTCGTCCTTCCCTTTGATTGGGGGGGAGTTGGATTTGCACAAGTGCTTTGCCTATGATTTCTGCCAAAAATACGCACAAACGGGACTTGTACACACCGCCCCTATAGCGAACTGTCAGCCGAAACAAGAAATGATTGATCCGAACATTCAAGATTTTGTGCAGCCTCTCCAGGTACAATCCCAGAACTACTGCACACTGAACTCTGGGCCTGCCAAAGGACATTTTGCACTTTGGCTCTTCAATGCTAACTGCAGAGATTCAAACCTTTGCTCAATCAAACAGACGTTGCCAGTTCAGCGAGAAAGAAGCAAAGATGGGCACGAGGCGTTAGAGGCAACTGACTCAGCTGACCATCCAACGATGTGGCCACACCCCATCATTTTGCACATCTTAAATTGGTGCCGAACCCATTGACTCCAGAGACCAGAGAGGAATGCATTCAACTGAAGTTGCAGCATATTACCAAATAAGGTTGATCTTTAGGATGTCATGATAAACTCTTGGAATCTTTTGGAGTTTTTTTCTTGGCAAGATCATTAATTATTGTTGCAGTGTGGGGGCGTGAGGCGGGTATTTAGAAACTGTGAGAACTTTGGTGAAAAGGTTGAGACAGCAGAACATGATGCTGACCTTCCTCAAACGCTGCTTCATGCCAATGGAAAGACTCCCTGTCTATGGCTCTGGTGGTCCAACATAATCTAGCAAGGGGGGTCTCTTTTTGGATCCTCATCCACTTGTTGAGAAGCCTGTACCTTATGCCCACAAAACGAATCAAGCCCTACCACCTGATACTAGGTACCGGGGTTAAGTTGTGTGGTCTTGTAGTAAACCCCGGCACTTGTAGATGAAACTCGATGAACTACCTCCTCAAACCAAAACCATCGGTGGTTTTGGCTGACCGTCCTGCTCGACTGACCCCTCAGGATGTGGCGCAGCTGAGGGCGTCCTTAGACTCGCGCCAGGGACCTGCGAGATATAGCCAGCTACAGGCCCGCTGGTCGGCCTCGGCAGCCGGAGCAAGCAAGAGGTGTTCGTCCACAAAAAGCTCAGACTCAATCCACATGGATGAGGGGATGATGGGAGATGTTATTGACTTCATGAGGTCAGACAAAAGCCACCTCCCTTTGGGGTATGCGATGGTATGCGCATGTATGCGCATTATCTCCAGGGCATTTCTCCAGGGCAAATGGGCGAATATGTGCTGTGCGTATGTATATATATATATGGTTGTCGATCTAAAGGTCCTAGACAGCATTGTGTATGACGATGACCCGGAACATATCAAAATCTCATTTGGCAAAAGTTTTTTCTCGAGTTGGCGAAAGTATTTTTTTGCGAAAGATCTGGCGAAAGATTAAATATGTACTTTTGTATGAATGTTCATTTGCTTCCTGAACAGCTGGTGAAAGTGACTCAGAAGTTAGATGAGCTGTGGAAGTTAGATAACCTGCTGCTGCGGCTACTACTACTACTACTACCACTACCACTACCACTACCACTACTACTACTACTACCACCACCACGACTACTACTACTACTACTACTACTATTACTATTCCTGCTCCTGCTTTGGGGGGTGGCTTTGCCAAAAAACTCTACCCCGCAAAAGGCGAAAGTTTGGCGAAAGTTCAGCTCAAGATGGCGAAAGTTCACCCTGCCACATCTGACCCCCAGCCCATTATGAGTAAGTTTGAGTGACCGGCTACTACAGTGATTCTTGCAATTTTGATTCTTGCTGACACCCAGGAGAAACAAAAGAGACGTACAGGGTGTCAACAGTTAAGTAGAAGACACATGCTGACAAACAGTGAAGTTTCTATTTTTTGTTTACCAGTAAAGAAGAAGCCATTGACGCGAACAGAACACAACATACATGGCACACATAAATACAACGTACTTCGGCGAAAGATAAAACGCAGGAAGGCGAACATTTGGCTAAAGTATTTTTGTTTTGGCGAAAATGACGGATCCCGGATAAAGGAATTTGGATCAACTCCCATATGTATGTATATATATATATATGTGAGCAACGGCTTTTATTTGCGGTAGTGAAGATTAGTCTAGGGGCGTTCCTTTTCTATAGCCCAATGTCACATTTAGTTGGCGAAACGAGGTAGGAACACCCCGAGAACGAGATGGGCATCAAATGCGCCATTTGTTTGAAATGGCTTGGTTAATGACATGTTTAGCTTGTGAAACGAGGTAGGAACACCTCTCGAGAACGAGATGGGTATCCACACACCAAAACGAAATACAGGAATGGAGAACGAGATCACACACCAAAAACGATGCGGGATTGGAGAACGAGGTAAGGAAGGTCCATGTGATAGTTTAACGGAAATGAATTCCATCGCCACCATCGCTCATATATATATATATCCTCACGGGTTTACTTAAGACTGTGAGTTATTTAAATCATTTCCTTTCTTCAGTCGCCTTCTTCTGTCCACTGTTTGTAGAGCTTCTGTCCACGTTCATTAATCTTTTTACAAGTCCGCAGCCGCCACTGGTACACACAGCACAACAACAGACCATTTGGCTTCGGTACCCACCGCTTGAGATCAGCCCACATTTGATCCATAAGGCCTGCATTCACTTGGATCTCACTGTAACCTGCCACCTTTGCTTTGTTCCAGTACCCTGCAGAATGCATGCCAAACCTGTGCTTCAATATTTGTATTCTTCGGCCATGTACACGTAGCAACACCACCCAGAGAAGAATACAGAACTGACAACAAAAAATTGATAGATAGTCTGCTGCTTTAACTGCCTAACATCAAGTGTGTTTGCCACACTACACGCAGGTCAACACCAACCCCCGTGCGTACCATAGCATCAACAGCGTTTGCAACTTCAAAGGAACGTCAACACCACCCCGACCCCAGCCAAGCTGTGGCCAGGGTAGCCTCGGAAAGCTTCTCCCTAGTGGCCCTGAAAGAAACCTTAACTGTGCTGCAAATACCCTGCAAAACTATGCCCGAAAGCGCGAAATGCCACGGCCGTCTATCAAGCGTGTGCCCACTACATTGACGCTCACAACGTTGACCAAGAAAGCAAAATTGAAGGGTGAACAACTCCATATTACTTAGAATATAACATGTGCTTTTCCCAAACCCGACGAGTTCGCGAACACATCTTCCTGACTGCTAAATTCGTGAAATTTTGTTGAAATCAAACGGGTTCTTTTAAGACGCCTTAGTGTGCGCAACACGGCACGAATGCTACATCTTGACGCCCTGACCACCCCTTAAAATATACACATGAGATGACATCAAGATCTGCATGACCAAAAGAGATGGTGAGTACCCAAAAATATGCGACGATCCCTCGGAAGAGTAGGACAGTTCTGAATTCAAATTTCGCCTGTGATCTATGTAAAAACAACCAACACGAGCGCAGCGGACGTGTCCGTGCAGCGCAAACATCAAGAACATCAAGCGAAATACACATAGAAATTGCCATGAGGCATTTCGTACTACGTATTAGAAAAAAAACCGTCGGGATATATATTATATACACACGTACACGTTAGTGTGCATGTTTATTTTGGCCATGCATGCATGAGTTCATTTGCTGTGGGGAAAGCATCAGATCAAGAATGTACTTGCAATTCCGCAGTCAGCCATACTGTCATCCTCACAATTTCATTCAGACAAGCCACAAATAATGTATATAATATATATATATATATTTATATATATTTATATATATGCACGTGCACGCATATACACATCCAGGTGTCTCATCAGCACTGTGCCACTAGGCAATCATGGCTATGAAGGGTCTTGTCTTTGACCACAGCGGCCCTGAGAAGACAACATGCTCCAAAGCAGAAGCCGAATGAAGCAGTTCTTGCAATAAAGTTGCAGAATGCACGGCCATGTGGCTGCCAAAGCAAAGCGTCCATTGATTTATCATTTTGTCCCTGAGAGAGGGGTGAGCATCACTTGATTCATCACATTTATTAAGCTGTGAGCACTGTAAGCTTGTGGCGTGATGAAAAGCTGGCAGACAGGGAGGCTTCTATCTCCTATGCCATCCCCGTGCAGCGGGCAATTATGGTGAAAAATTGGTACAGAAATGTAGCCTGGATTGATGGGCTCACTTGACTACTGGAGATTCCATACTGTGTCTCGGGCAATCACCTAAACTCCTTCAGCAGACCCAAGCTGCGCTGGCGCTTTTCTTCACTCGCGCGTAGCCGGCTGAGGACAAGCTGTTCAGCTGGTTTGGATGCTGGGCCATGGCCTGAAACCAGCCATGACGCAGCCATTTGCGACGCCTGGGAGACAATATAAGACACGATTGAACTGAACCTGCTCCTGAACTGAACCTGCTAGACTATGCTGAACTGAGCCTAGCCTCAACCTGCTCTTTGGTTCCCACCTTCCAGTTTCTAGTCTAGTGGTCCTCCGGTCACCAAGGCCTGCAGTGCAAGTGTCCCTGAAGCCTTTGGAGTCCTCCTCGCAGAAGATTCGGCTGCTTCTTGGTGACAAGCTCTGAAGATTGGCTGGTTTTGTTTGGGTTTCAGTCTTCTGGTGTCGTTGAAACGGAGTGGTTTATTAGACCTAACAGTGCTGTCACACAACCAAGATATGCCTCTGGTGACAGCAGTGGCGCCTTTGACTGCACCCTGGCTGCAGGAGTGGAGTTTAGGGGCTGAAGGAGATTCGCGGTTTGCAGCCGTTCCCTTTCTTGGTGGAGGGTGTACAGCTTTACAGTGGTTGTTGCAGAAATCATGATATTTGTAAGTAATATTTAATCTATATAGGTGAGCAGTGCAGGTTTTGTATTTTGAGTGTGTGCAGATTGTGAGTATTAGCCAGGTGAAAAGAAATCAAACTGTTCAAACCTTTCGCAACAAGTTTTTTGTTTGTGATGTAATTATGGTGTTTTTTTGCAACCGACAAACAAGAGAGGAAGGGAACGAGAAAGAACTGTTTGCAGCAGAAGATGAGCAGAAGAGGGAGGAGAAGCACCGCGAAGAAAACCGAAAGAAGCGAGCATACCTTGGTGGTTAGGTTCATGACTTGTTTGTGCAACACATTATTCATTATTTCCTTTCTGGGGTTTACAACTATGCAAATGATATGGGAATCATGAGGGTCTCGACCCTTGCTGAGGCAACGCAAGTCTCTACGATGCACTGGGAGCGGTGACTGACTCTGTGTTGCTGCAGGTGGGTCGGGTCATGCATCACGTCTTTTGTCTTCGGAAACGAATGATAACTGTGACCTTTTTGGAGTCCTGGATGTTCTACCTTTTCCCAAGGTTCTACTGAACATATTTTGAGATGTGGGCCTTAACTTTATGGAACCAAAAGAAGGCAGAGGTGCGATGAAAAAAACATGCGCACTGTGCTCACTAATGAACCTCCATGTTCCATTTCTGTACCTCCACACGGCAACTGCCCATTATATTGATAGCAACTAGAGTCTAGAGTCGAGAGTGCAGGAAGACTTGGTGGGTCCAAACTGGGGGATGCTGTTGACCAGGGAAAATGAGTGCTAACAGACTGCCAGACATCGGGGTTCCAGGTTTTGACCCACAGCCAATTATAGTCGGCAGTTGGCATTAACAAAAATCTCTTTGGACTCACTGTGTGACGTTGAGCCCTTGCGTCTTTTTGCGGCAGGTCAATGTCACATCTTTGTGATTTGGCTTGCATATCTATATAGCTCTTTTGGAGAAAGCAACTCAGAGAGGATGCGGGGGTTGGACAAGAATCTGCCTGTAGCGGATCCAACAAGATTGGTCTTTTGCTTGGAATCTGGAAGCAATTCCTATATGCCACTCCGACCGCGGCACGAGACACTTTCGAACCGAGGCAACGAGATGATGGTGCCCAAGGGGGTGGCAACGGGGGTGGCGACGGCAACCTACCAAACGCGACCCAAGGCGATTGGCCAATCGGAGATGGTCAATGGCAAGTGACAGGTGGAAGTAGGACCGAGAAATCAAAGCTGCAGGAAGTCCCAACGGTAGGAGCGACCTGAAGGCATCATAAACCGGCGTTTCATTTACGGCAAGTTTACGGGAGGTCTCCATGAGGAGGGGAGCCTCAAGGCTCCTGGAGAGAAGGATCCAGAAGGGTTTCCATCGAGTCCTCGTGCAGGCGGCACTTGTGCAACGACATGTCCCAGTTTCATAGATGTGGTTTGCGCCTCAGATGAAACAGCCGGGTCCAAGCGCAACTTTCTGAGTCCAAGCCCAACCGCCAACCGCTCCTGTGAATCTGGTATTTGATGTGCTTTGAGACTCACCATTTGAGTGGTCCGTGGCATGTGCTTTGGTGAACCTTGCGGTCCCAAGAATCCACCTGCCACCGGTGAATCTGCCCTCTTCGAAGCGCACACGGACCACACGCGGTCCCTGCTTTTCGACGTCAAAAAGCATGGCCAAATGGTCTCCTTTTCCGATTCCGAAAAAAAGACCTTCTATGAAGCCCCAATTGGTTTCCCAGGAGCCCACGTCTCTAGACTCTAGACCCATCGTCTGTGCTGGACGGGCGGTTTCTCTTCGTCGATGTCCTGCCAGATGTGCTTCTTGGCACATGCTTGCTGGGATCGAGTTGGATGGCTGGCTTTAGCTGTCCGGGCCTGGGTGATTGGGAGCCAACCACATGGGCTCCTCCTGCCTCCCCAATAACACCCTTGACATGGACTCTTGACCTGCTGATTCCCATGTTTGAGTTGGTAAAACTGATCAGTTGCATGCAGTTGCACAGGCCAACCTTTTGCAACCTTTGGTGCGTGCTACAAGGTGATTCTGACATTGCTGGCTCTGTACTTCTGCTGTCAAGCTCTCAGCTGTGCCCTTTCTTCAACAGTTTAGCACACTCCTTGGTGTGCTGTTGCTCTCAGACCATAAGACCATTCGCATGGCATCCCATGGCCCTCTCCGAAGAAAGAAGAGCTCTCCATTGATTTACTTCGTGGCTCGTGCAGCCGTTTGGGACAGGCCGTCGAACATGGTCATTTTTTCTGCAACAAACTAACGCCGTTTCTTCGTTGGTCGATACAACAGTTCAGCCGATATGGGATGTTGAAGAACCTGGCAGATTTACATCCTTGGACTTATCGGACATCAGTGGACGTCAACATCCTTGGCCAACGTAGGACGCTTCAACACCCGATCAATCGGCCGCCATGGATGATGCTTCACGGAGAGGCAAGTTGGACAAGGCCTCTTTTTTTTCCCGATTTGACCGCTTTTTGAGAGAGGGAGGTGATCATCGATGTGATGCCATGAGAACAACAGATTACCAAAGGGTGGCAAATGAGAACAAAAGATAACCAAAGGATTGCCAAAGGATCATGTTAGGACGCTACTAGGAGCAAAGGGCATCGCTACGAACGGAGCAAGGACGCTACGAACGGGGCTGCTGGCCATACTACTAGGAACAAGGACGCGACTAGGAGCAAAGGGTATCGCTACTAGGAGCGAGGACGCTACTAGGGGCTCCTGGCTCCTGGCCTTACTACTAGGAACAAGGACGCGACGAACGGAGCTTTTTTGCAGTTTTGATCATCGCATACTAATTGATTCACAGCGGCAGTGCCACGGCGCGCTGTGCATTTTCCAGCAAGCGTTTTGCTTCGTTTGGCTCCTGTCCCGCCCGAGGCCTTAAGCAATATTTGGAGCGGCCCGGCTCGCACTGGGGAGCTTGCTGGCGAAGCAGTTCAGGAGGCAACACCTGATTAAATCACTCTCCCACAGCAGTTCGGGAGGGATCCATTGCATAGGGGTCCACAAGAGTTTCCAAGACCACAAGAAACTCTTCATCCGAAGGTCATCACATCACAAGTCCCTCTCCCACAGGGCTGGTCCCTTCGTTTCAGGTCTGAATCCGAAAAGGGCGCCAAAACGCACGTTCCCCGTGCGCATCGCGAGGAGCTCCCAGCGAGTGCAACTCCAAAAGATCAGTCGTGAGCTGAGGCTTCACATCAAAGCCGAATTATGTAGACTCTTGAATAAACCTCCATATGAAGAGGATGTCCAATTCAAACAGGGAGGTCTATGAATCGAGAGTGTACATTATTGTGCAAAGCTGCATAAGCGCCTACATCTGTCTGTATAACGACAAGAATGGGGCACAAGTTGCATTTTGCGTGGTGCACCGATGTGTGCTGACATTGGCTTTTGTATGCTTTTGTACCATCAACCATCCAAAGTCAGCTAAGTGAATGGAGCTAAGGGCCCTTCACCTCCTGCTGGCTGCGTTGGGACAATTGGAGCGGGAGCCGCCACAGCAAAAGGCTGGCTTACTATAGATGATCCCATGGTCGAAGACGAGTCGAAGATTTCCCAATCTTTCCAGAAAGTGTATCAGGCAAAGTTTCTTATGGCATCAGCCGCTACCAGCTGCCACTGGCGGACCTACTAGGTGTAAATTCACTGGCGAAAAGCACCTTCCACAGTCAAAGACTCCGACGTTTTGGTCACAGATTCGACTGTGACTGGCAGTGCTGCCATGGAGGACTTGACCCCAGGCTTCTGTTCACAAGTGTCTCTAGTAACTCTAGTAGGCTTAGAGGGAACTTGAGAGTTACTTTACTTTGGCAAGGGGGGTGCTCCGGTGCTCCTTGGTTCTTTTTACAACCTTCTGGATTTACAGAGGAACTTCAGCGGCCTTCTTAGCCATGGGCCGCCCCCCAGTCTCTCAAATGGATGGCCAGGATGCCCAAAAGGATGCAAAAGAAGCCTTAGCCATCTTCCGGGACTTGCAAGAAGCGGAATGCCCCAAACTCAGTGAGGAATGCTCCTCCGATTTCTTAAGATTCAACTTGGGTAATCATCGTAACGTGCAAATCTCTCAATGTTCAAGATTTCCCCCTCTTGAAGTCATATGCAATACATGGCATACGTATGACACTAATTAGGGTTGTTTGCATGAGCTCTTGCATAATCAAGATCAAGATATCTCAAAGGCGGAACCCGAAACTGGCAGTTGTGCAAGGTGCAACCAAGGCATACGGTGTTTTTCCCGGTGTGCAGAGACATGCACGAGGCGAAGCAACTGCATTGCTGGCTGTCAGCAGAAGCAGCATTGAGCTGGATGTGCATGCAGCCTCGCAGGCAGCGGTTCAGGTGCAAAGGGGTAGAGCCAGTAGCAGAGCCGCTGTGGATTTGACATCAGTTAGCAAGGTTGCAAAGGTCAAATCGTTCCGCAACCATTTTGGGCTTTCCCATGCAGAAAACAAGTGGGCAGCGATGTTTCTGCAGCTGCACAAGACAAGATTGTTTGGTGCGAGCGTGCGTTGACAAGTACAGTACGTATCACTGAGTTGAAACTAGACCGTGCAGATCAAGTTGTCATAGGTCAGTCTGCAGGATATGGCACGTTGCGCCATGTTTTTTAGGATTCTTTAGATTTGGTCTGAAGGAACACATGGCCAAGATTGATCAGCAGCATTATGTCACATTGTGAATGTTCTCAAAGATCTTAATATAACCGCCTTGATATACATTGATCAACTACAATGCCATTGTGTGCACTGTTTTGCACAAGGCACTGAAGGTCTTCAGAGATCTGGGCCACGTGAAGGGTGAGATTGCTGCCTTGCATTGCCTGGCCAAAGTGGATCAGGCGCACCCGCAATTGGTGCGGACGTGTTTGTTCTGAAGCAGAATTGATCAGAAGAGTTCATACACGTTCATACGTCAGAGCAGGTCCGACTCGTCGTCTTTGTCATTGCCGAGCCATTTGTACTTGATAGCCAACATGCTGACAGTTGTCCCATGGGCAGTGCTTCGGGAGCCTTTCAAACTGTTTCAAAATCCATCCAAGCGCTTCTGATGGCACAGAACCTGCAGAAACCCCAGAACAGTGCCCCAATTGGAGGAATTTGGCCCATTTAAACTTAATTAAACATCTTTTGTGCATCTTCAGACAAGTGAAAAGTGCTATCTTCGAAGAAGCTCCCACCACGTTATGGACTGGTCGCAGCATGATGTAAACAGAGTTGCGGTGTTAGAACTGGAGTGAACAGGAACTTCCCTTCCACATCGCCGTATGATGTGGGTCTTCGCAATGCCCAAGCAGAAAAGGCCCTCATGGCCACGACTTCTTGTGGGACGAAACAAGAGGGATCTGTCTACGTTCCGCCAACGGGCTCTGCCGCAACGCACCTTTCGACTGGGAAGACGAGGCCACCAAAAGCTTTGATGATGCGAGCTACAAAGCCAGCGAGGTTGGGTGTGGAGGGAAACCAGCCATGCCAGCCATGCTCCAAACGTATGCTGGAAAAAGCAGGAAGAAAGCATGGCTTAAAGCACTTTGGTGAAGGGAGAACCCAAGTCGTTTTGGTTGGGGAGACCTTGGAGAGGCGGGAGAAGAGGATGTGTATGGATTTGTCATACGCCAGGATCACAAGCAGTGCCAGACTACTTAAACCGTGAGATCTGCACTGGGATGATTGGGACCATCTCAAAATCGACATCAAGAGTGTGCAAGCAAGAGCAATGTGTTGAGCAATTGCTCCTCACGTGTAAACTTAAAAATTTATCCGAAGGACTGACACTTATATTGGGTTCTTTTTGCGGCAAAGCCTTATCTTTTTGTAAAGCGCTGGGTGGCATCGCACATCGCGGCAGTTTACCGCGACGATCACCTCAAAATCGGTGTAGTTGTGGCGTTGAGGCTTTGAAGAGGGCACGGAAAATCGAGGATCTCTCCAGAGAAATGGCTCTTTGTGACCCTTGGCAGACTGCTTTTGATTCAAGGAGGTGAGGCTGTGCCTTAGGTTGCGACCTAGATGGTCAAACTTCTCCAAGCGTGGGGATTTGATTAACCAACATGAACCAACTGTCATTACAGTTTTGCAATGCATGCCTCTTGAAAGATGAAAGATGCCTTTACTCTGGCCAATAGCAGTCTAGCTAGCAACAGCTAGCTAGCCAGGCTGTGCACACCGAACGGCACGAACGGCATGCCGTGGTCGCCGGAACCCGGTCTGTTCCAGTTGCCCCGGGTGCCGAGGAGACCGTCTTGGAGGTGAATATCGCCCAGGAGCGGGAAGAGATGAACCAAGTGACTGAGTCGACCATCTCTAACCATGATGTTCAGGCGAACATGGGCAACATCGGTGGTGATGTTCAAAAGGCCCCTGCGCAGCGGCTCAGCCGCCTTTTCGGTGCGCTCGCGCTGGTTTCGTTCACATTCCAACGGATCCCCCCCCACCACAAACCAATACAAACCATCACCGCTGTGGATGGTTTTTTTGAGCCACCGTGCGCGTCCAGCTGGATGAACGGTGAGCAGCTGGTTCGGGTTTTCTTCGCAGGACAATCCGAAGAAGGCGGAGGATGCAGCAAAGGACAGTCGACCCGATTACTGTATATGAATAGCATTGAATAGCTGCTGGTGTTGCTCCATTTACCAATTGAAAAGAGCGAAACAGATCCGATAACGTCACTCTTTCCTGTATGATTAGTCGCTTGTGCGTGTGGCGGCGTATGATACGAGGCCCGACGCATGCCGGAAACCCGAGACGTTTTCTCTCGGCAGAGACTTGAAGCTGCAGTTTCCGTCCTGTTCTGAACCTGATCCAAGAAGATGACATTCCATGGGGCATCCGACATAAACTGCTCCGACAGATTCTTCGACCGAGCTTTAGGTGCTGATGGGGACAGCTAGACTGCTGCAGGGACCTGGGCCGCCTCTGGGCCTCGCTACGCTCGTCGCCGTAGCTCGGGCCGACGAAACAGGAGGGAGGCGTGATTTCCAAACTCTTGGAGAGCCAGGCCGGGCGTAACTCGCGGAACGGCAGAAACGGCAGAAACGGAACGCTCACTCCAGCGATGTGTGACGACGGGATGGTCTTCCAAGCCTTCAGACCATACCCTTTGGGAGCGGAAAGGCCTTCAAAAGGTATCGAATACGCCTTCAAGGGTTTCAAGGGACCGGAAATGACCAGAATCTCCCCCCCAAAAGGTGAGTTCATTCTGGAGAGCTCCTGTTGCACTCTCAAGAATCTCAAAGAATCGCGTGTAGACATAGTCTTCATTGCGAGAAAGCTGAGAGTGAGCATGCGTGGGCAAAGCTTAGCTCAAATTTGAGTGTTTTCCATGCCAGACGCTGCTCGCCAAAGCAAAGTGCTGGACAGCCCGAGCACATGGGGCTTCTGAGGAGCCACATGAGTCGTCAACGGAGGCTGCAAGTTTCCATGTTTTGGTTTGACGGCTTAGGTGCCATGACCCTTTTTCAACTTGGAGACATAACCCTGGCTGCCAGCGTGACGACTCGGTAACGACTCGGAACGTGCCAAATGTGATGTGTTTTTTGTCGTGTTCGTGTCTTTTTTTCGTTTTCTTGTGGTCATATGAATTATCCGGTTTCCAGATGACACGTCGGGTAGTCCTTGGATGTTCTTCTAGTAGAAGACTCCTTGAGGGATTGGAAGGGGTCTTCTGGGACCAAAAGGGACATTCACTGCCAGGAGCGGAAGATGACCGGCATCAAAGCAGCTGAGGAGGCGTTGGAACTCTATCGAAGCCTCGGTCAGAAGGATGGAGAAGTGGAGGCCGCGAGAAGAAGTTTGAGCTGCAGTGTTTGGTAATCTGGTAGTAAATCATTTTGTACGAAAAACATTGCACACATTTGCAAACCCATCTTGGAGGTTGGTTTCTGTTCATTCTTTTCATGTGAGTCTCAAAGAGGATGAGTAATGAGGTTTGTCGGTTTGCCGCAGTGATCTCATTAATATTTTGAGAGCAACAGGAGCAACAAAACGCAATACCTTGACAGTGGTGATGTACTTTTTCTGGCTACTGTAGACATTCTTCTTGGGCGTTTGGCAGGCATTGGAAGCCTTAGCAGCAGCGACCAAGGAGGATTTTAGCGATGTGTTGAGGCCAGTCAGTTTGGACATGTGACATGCACATGCATGTCAACTTGGGTTCGCGAAGCCTTGGTTGTGATCGTCCAAGTATCAAGAGTGCGGTGGGAATCCTACATGAGAACCAACTAGCAAACCATTCAGCTGTTTTGAGAAGTTGTGGATGCTTTGCAGAGTCTTCAGAGTAGAAGCAGAATTTGCCACTAAGAAGTGGAAGGTGGTTCTCCCACCGCCAGCCTGTTTGAAGTGGTATGTGTTGCAAACGACCCCGCAATGACCGATGGACCCTTGGGAATCACCTAGAAGAGGCACTGAACCGACGATCCGTGTTTTCTTCATGCGCGTGATACACGACTGCCGCACACACACGGTGGCCAGTAAGAGCCAATCCCTGGCGGACAAGTTTGCAGAGAGTGGAGACAAGAAGGACCGCTCGTTCGGATATGTGGTACGATACAGGTGAAGTCCACTTAAATTACCATTGTCGTGGTGGCCCAAGTTTTCATCCCATGTAGCGGTTGGTGTGGCAAAAGGGCGGGTGTGTCAAAGCTGCGGTATTGGTTTGGGCGTGACAGCTCTTTCTCCTTGGTCGTGGTTGACATGTGATGAAGGTGTGCACAAGGTGTGGCAGTTGTCCTGCTATGGACATATGATAGATATTGAAATTGAGAGATAAAGTATCCAAGTTGATGAGCTGCATGTGTTGGTCCATCAACAGTGTCACTTCGCTGATGGCAATATTGTGCGGAGGCTGTAGCAAGCCCTTCCCCATCCGAGAGCATTGGGTGTTGAAAGATTCGTGACAGTTTCTCTTGATGCCCCCGTGTGCAAATGCCTGGGTCAACCATGATCATGACGGGCACTGGTATTGGTGTCTTCAATCTTATGCAATAGGTTTGAGAACTGTCCCGTCAGGCTTCCATCAGTGACCCAACTCTCTGTTTGTTCATGGGAGAAAGCGGTAGTAGTTATATAGTTTGTGGCATGTGTTCTTTTTTTGCAGGCTCTTGATCCACACTTCCAAATCGATGCAAGCACAAACGAATTATGTTTCAGCAGTCCAAACGGTCAGGAAGAGGTGCGCGCTTTGCTGATAGCTGCATCCTGCAGAGAAGCCACAGACAGGGAGAAGGCCACACATGGAGTGTCTAGAGGGAGAGGATGTCCTTTCTGTGTATTCTTGTGAAGAAGTGTCACCCTTAAGATTGCTGTTGAGTGAGACTGGCTTAGTTTGACTAGCAACAGGTAGCGCACATGAGCAGTATGAGCAGTATGTTCTTTTGTATCAGGTGTGTTGAACCATGTTCGCAGTAGTGTATATTATATAATCACAAAACATGATGGAACACTATGAGACTAATTGAGACTATGAGTGATGAATCAGTGCTTTTCATGCGAACAAAAAGCGCTTTTCTGAGGGCCTAACAGGGCATGCTACTAGTAGTAATGCCCTTAGCTACTCAGCTACTAGTAGCTACTTTCTGGCCAGGCATTCAAACTGCTTCAACGTGGCCTCAACGCGGCGAAAGAAGCCGAACGACCTCTCCAGGGTCAGGTGCTGCTTCGAATCGCACGCCTCCACATGGACCGCGAGGATGGGATCCGCTTCCGAAACATGCGGATGGGCCGCATCCATCGTCCGGTCGGCCATGGAAATATGCTGAAACCGCAGAGCACAGGAGTCGAAATGGTCCGTGTCTTGTGCAAAATCATGTTTTTTTTTTGCATTATTTCTTCATTCATGTATATATATATATATATATACATATATATATATACATATTTTTGTTTGAGCAAAACGCTCAATGGCCATCGGAGTATATTGGAGTGGTGAATTGATGGGGTATTTGATTTGGGTGTGTTTGTTGGAACCCTCTCACTAGCAAAATAGACAATAAATAGCGTTTCAGTGAAACCAGAGCTCCTACAATGGCTCTGAGCAGCAGGAGCCCAGTGAAGCGCTGCGAGCAGCAACACAGGCCAAGCCAGTCGAAGCCGTGGCTGGAGTGGTGTTGTTCCACCCGACGCCGAGTGGATCGTACTGCATAGGGTACCCATGGAGGCATGTTTATTAGCAGTACATTTAGACCTGGCTCAAGCACTGAGCTTTTTAGTCACCTCTCGTGACTGAGACTCGGAAGGTGATTCATTTGGGTTTCAGACGGTAGCAGGCGATTACCGGAACTTTAAGAGAAACCCTTCTATTTGGATTGAACAAACATCCTCTTCTTATGGGGGTTATTCACATTTATTTTTCACGTGTCTTTCACTCTATAGTTATAGTCAAGACATGTTAACACAAAGATTTTGTCTTTGCGGAGTGGACTGTGGTGTCTTTTTGGTTCTCTAAGAGGCTGGAGGCGCCCAGATTCACCCAGGCCGGAAGCATCTTCCGAAATGAACCATATCCCACGAAGAAGATTCGGATCAGCGAGATTGAATGCATTGAGATCCAGATGGATGCGCATGTGATGCTAGGCAGGGAAAGGGGGGCGGCCACTGGGGTGGCCCATTGGATGTTGTGTTGCAACATGGTGAGGATTCTCTGAAGTTCCAAGTCTTCATGCTTCGACCGAGGAATCACTAGTAGGGAGTTTCCGCTAATTAGTAGGGCAGGAGCAATATGGAGCAATCAATCACGTGTGGACAGCAGCAGCTCAAGAGGGACATGATGTGGTTGCAGATGCTCGAGTCCATCAAAATGAAGGAGAAGAAGAGAAAGGTGATGAAAGGGGTGTATATACCAAAATAGATTGCTATAATTATTATATAAGATATTATAAGAAGAAGCGAGTTATAGCGAGTTCACACCTAAGCAGCAACCAGACTTGCAGCCAGACTTGGAATGGGGTCTTGAGACGGCGAAAACCTAAGAAGCCTCAACAAGGACATTTAAATTTAGCACATGGATAGCTAATAGAGTTGCCTGGTTGGAAAGAATATTGATTTCTTTACTAGTCTTTGCACGAGGAATCACCTGGATGCTTGCGGAACATACTCTCACTAAACAAGGACTGCTACTACTACCCGTTGAACATATTTTCGTTCATGGTTTTCATATGTTTTCATCAATGTTTTTACACTAATATGAACATGGGCAACCATATGCCAAACCATCAGCGCTAACCAGGACCAGGCTCTATCAGCCACATCCTGGTTACGTCAGCCAATCGCTGGCTGACGTCCAACTATTCCCTCTCCATGTTCGCTGCTTCTTCCAAGTAGAAAATGATTACTTTGTACTGGGGCAACCACCGAGGCTTTTTGAACAATTGATCGCTGCCTGTACGTAGACGTTTGTGGCTGTGGCTCTGAGAGTAACTATATGTACTGTAACTATCTCCTTTTCCCGCTAGGCAGCTTAGTTTGATGACATCAAGGTTGCAAGAATGCTGAATCATGTTGCAGCTTTCAAGTGTTCTTGGGGATTTCTGAGATGAATCTGGGTTGTCGTTGTTTTCCCCCTACCAGACCTGTTCAGGCTCCTCTTGTATCGGAACATCCGTGTTCCGTCCATCGGACCATCGTCTTGTTGTTTTTCTTCCTTCAGGTGCCATGGACGAGGCCTTCCGAGTGGGTGTGGAGCAGGGGCGGCGCTTCAAGGGCCTCCAAGAACGACAAGGAGAAGGGATGGCATGGCGCTCAGCAGGAGCTCAGCTAATCAAGGAAGATTTGGTGCATATTCATGCATGTTCGCATGAAATCGGAAGTTGAATTCAAGCTGGTTGAAGGAACATCTCCAAACAGGGGACCACCAAGTCACTCCCATAAATTCATCATGATACGTCATCAGTTTCAAGCAGTTCGCATCAATTCACCATGCCCACATATATGTTATCATTGGCATTGCAGCTTTGCCCAGCAAGCCTTCCAGCATTTTGGAAGACTTTTCAGAGCGTGCTTGTGCAAGGTCCTCTTGAAACTGGTGTCACTTCATCAAATGCGACTGGAGGATGACAAAGCTCTCAAGGCGGGCATCGGGCATTATCTATCTGACTTGTTTGGGAACCCTGAACTCTCATCGATTCCACAAAGTCTTTTGGGTGCTCGCGCGCCTCGCAGGTCCAAGACATTGCACCCAATGACCCCCAAATGGCCCGCGTCCGCTTCAAGCGCGTGCGACAGCGCGCCAACATCGCGCGGCCCGTACTCTGTCGCTTCCTGCGCCCGTGCAGTTGCTGGAGTACGTCCCAATGCTTTTCAGCTCGGCCGGCGATCGTCAGCTTGAGGGTTTGGCTTGGGAGCGGATGGTGAGAAGCCTCAGTGTGGGCGCGTCCGTTTGAGCGGAGAGGTCTTTTTGAGCGGAAGATGTAAGAGATTCGTAGAAACAGATAGAAACAGTGCAAGGTGTTGAACACCTGAGATGGGCAAGATCCGACTGTTTCAGGGGTTCAAGCACAACAGGGTCCAAGCAAACATGAACATTTCGTTTGCAACAGCGTCCAATCTAGCGAAGATAATAATGAATCAATAAATTCTGAAACCCGCCTACCTCCTGTTCTCTCCATTCCATGTAAGGACATGTGGCGAGAGTCTATTTGATCGCTTTTGATGTTCTCCATCCATGGCAGCACTGTGCGTTTGAGGCCAACTGCTACTTGGAGGCGGGTGATTCGGCCCAGGCAGTGAAGGTGCCTCGTTCGAAAGCCTTGGAACACCGGAGTACACCTGAAAGGAATTGACTTGGGCAAAGGTTGGTTGTTACATCCAGCAGACTCAGCAGACGTTCTTAATTGATTGAGATATTGTTCTTGATTGTAGTTAATCACTCACGATCCATAATCAACCAAGCAAGTAGGAGAGGAATCCATCGACCAATCCGAAGTTGACTATAGTCTATACTAGTCTGCTTGTGGTTGACTTGTGATTAGGTCTGCACATGGCATGAGTCGAACATGCTTTGATTTTCAGGCTATGCAGCATTGCGTGGGCTGCTTTCGGAAGGTGAATAGTCGTTTGATGCGAGCACGAGCTGCCTTGCTACAAGCAGATGTGCAGACAGCTCTGGTCTCTATCCAGCAGGCGGAGGAACCCAGATTCAAGGGATTTCACAAGCTGAAAGTTGAACCTCGAGCAGATCAAGTCGTTTGCTGTGCCTTTGCGTGATCCTGATGTGACATGCTGAGCAGATCAAGTACACTTGATTGCCCCTTGCTCGTACATGCACTTAGAACTGCCCCAAATACATCCTTTTCGTTCAGGGAAGCAGCCTGGAAGCCCTGGTCGCCGCCAAGGCCGGTCCCAGCGGTCCTAGCGGTCGAATCCCACCGAACACAGGCTTTTTGGTGTTGGTATTTATAAAAGTCCAGTGGGATGGCTACTTTGATGTTAAGGGGGTGAATTCAGCAACAACATCAGAACATGTCAGAACTGCATCCATGTTTCACTCAACGATCCACACCTTTGATACCGAAGTGCAATCAATAATTAAGAATAATGATTCAGTAATTAGCCGATTGCAGGCTGTCCCTGTTGTTCGATTTTAATAGTAGCAAGCATGTTCTATTCCCGATTTTTTTTCCCATTCACCCACGTGTTTGAATCTATGTCAGGAAGCTACCAAGCTCTTGCAGACGGGGACTCAGGAACCCTGGCTGGCGCTAGCTGTGCAACTTTTGACGCAACTTGGATGGTCTTGGGCGAGGCGAGTGGACGGAACGGCTGATCCATGCATTGGAGTTCGGTCAACGCCAAACAGGTTGTTGATTTTTTGAAACAAGACACCCTAAATATGAGGATAGATGTGTATCGTTCAAAAGTTTAGAGCGAATCTATGGCCTAGGGCCCTACTAGGGCCTATAGCTTGTAGCCACATGCAGTTGGAAAGAGCATCAGGACGGAATCAGTGGCTCAGAGTTCAGAGAGTTGGGTAGGCTTTGTGTCCGCCCTAAGGAATGCACACTTGATGAACCGCCAAGGGGAGGCCAGAAAGCTGCCCGGTAGATGTCGGTCACCCGTTAAAGTCCTTTTATCCGCCAGAAATCCAACATCTTCAGACCCGACAGTGGAAAAAGAAGATGCCTCATGCTAGGAGGCCTTGGAGCGAGCGCGGGAAAGCCAAGACTTAGCACAAAAGCAGAAGCAGATCGGTGCAGAGGCGAATCCTGCGGGTTTCGTCCTGCAGATCTCCTAGTAGCGTTCTTGCTCCTAGTAGAAAGGCCAGGAGCCCCTAAGTAGCGTCCTTGCTCCTAGTAGCGATGCCCTTGCTCCTAGTAGCGGATTCATGTGATGTTTTGGTTGGGACATGTTTTATTGTTGCACATGGTTCAATGTTCTTCCAAGCTCCATGTAGGGCACTTGGATTGTTGAAGTGTTCGATTTAATATGACTCCACACTAGTCGACTCTATGACCAAGCCCCCATGGGTCTTCCCTTGAAGGCGATGTCCAAGCTGATGGAGGCGGGTGCACACCTGTGCCTCGAGGCGCGTGCATGTGCCGCCACACCGCACCGGGCGGTGCCATCGTCCATCCGTGGTGCCAGGACTTCGGCGAAAGTGCCCGATGTGCGAAAGAGGCCAAGGAGACCCCCGTGACCAGGGCAGCCTAGGCTGCCATGTTTTGGCTCCTTTGAATGAGCTTGCTGGGATGGTGGGAATATGCAGGAACTACACATGATCCCACATGATCCTACACGGTTTGCGCAGTAGGCACAGTCTTGCTATGTCTTGCTCTTGTTCTAGCGAAAATCTTCCTAACACGTCCGCGTGTACAAGCAAGACGAGGGATCAACATGTTCCCGGGACTGTAGAAGTGTTACTCCCCATGAGTCAGAAGCCATGGAGCAGGGTTGACCTTCCACTGGGACATCCACCTCTCCGTGGATGTCCTCCTTCTTGGAGCTTCTACGAACGGAGCAAGGCGCTACGAACGGGGCTCCTGGCCTTACTACTAGGAGCAAGTAGCTACTAGGAACAAAGGGCATCGCTACTAGGAGCAAGGCGCTACTAAGGGGATGTTGAATGGAAACACCTCCGTGACGGACCGCCGCCCAGACCGTCGAGTACTCCTGCACAGCGTCGACTCACACGGCGTCTGTTAGGAGCTCTTTAGCTCAGACCTCGATGGGAACGGAGAAACTTCAGCCAATGACTTCTTGACTTACATCTTGAAGGCTGGACGGTGGAATGTGTGTGGTTGGGGAACTTGTGCAGAAAACTGCGCGCACTGCGACTGGTGCTTCGAAGAAGTGTGGCTTTATCAGCTTATCCGTTAGCGAGCCTGACAGGCTGAAGCCAAGGAGGAGGCACGGGTTACGCAAAATCGTAACAGTGTGCCTCATGCCATGAGTTCTCGCCCCGCGTTTCACCATAGAGGATGGTAGAGACTGATGGGCGGATTCTGACGATCTCCAAAGTTTCTAGAGTTAACGTCGAAGCTTCCTTGGTCACCTCGATTGTTGTGGCGCCGGGCGAGGACCCCAGCCTGTTCCGCGGCTTTGCGCTCCGGCGGCTGAGTGGGAGAGAGATGCGGCAGAAGGATGAAGCCAAGAAGAAAGAGACGCAGCAGCAGAAGAGGCGGGCGGGTAGGAGTTGTATGTTACACAATAAATAAGTTGAGTGCATTTCACCCGTGTAAAAGACATTGAGACAATAGCATGCAGCATACATAAGTTACACAAGCATAATATATATATGCATAAGAAGCATTCGTATCATTTCAATGATTTCCTGAACGGGAAGCCAATGATATCCATGTATTCAATACTCATCCTGCTTCTGTTGAAGCGCTGTTGGTGTGAAAAGTTCATTTCCTGTAGACAGGAGTCACAAAGTTCCAGGAAAAAAATATAAACAAATGTCTGAAGGATGTTCTTTCAAAATCTTTCAAATTTAAAGAGTCAGAAACACCACAAACAACTCAGCACATCTGGCACCGTCGAGGAAGTCAAAAGTCTCACACCAGTCGGACATTATCTTGTGGCAATGTTCGGAGCTCAGGGGTCTGTGCAACATGAATTCGGTGGTGTGGTGCGCTGCGATTCACTATCACTGTTCACCAGCTAGGGTGTACCTAAGGTGATGGCCGGAGCAAGCAGAATGAAGACGGGACGCTTGTCTCATCCACGAAAAATGCAGCACTGTAGTGTCAGCTCTCTTTGGTGAAGAAGGTCAGAGACATAGGATGACCTGCAATAGCTGCCAAACAACACATTTCATTGTGACAAGCTACCCGGCTACCCGGGCCGTTTCACCTGGGCCCGCCGGATACTCTACAGCATCATATCCACCCGGCCGGATATGATGCATCTGCACTGAGGCGATCGATTATGACATATTTTGAAGGCTTCGAGGTTCGTGCAGGAGTTGGACGACAACAACAGCAGCCTCTGAAGACTGCGGAACAGGTCCGGCAGGGCGAGGCCCCTGCGGAGTACTCCAAAGATTTTAAGGAGCTGGTTTAACTGGTTTGAGTGCCGATCCACTGACAGTGTCTCTTGAATGAGAGACATGATACATGTTGATCATCTGTTGATCCTTTTCTGCAGCTCATGAAAGTTGGAAGTGCAGGAGACCGTGAAGGAGCAAGGATATCCCGACCGTGAGCCGGCTGTTTTCGCTGTGCGCTGGGTGCAGGCCGAGAACGCTAAGGACTCACGAGCTGGAAATTCGAGTGTCTGGTTGGAGCTGACTATATACTGTAATTATTGGGTAGTTACACACCAGAACTTTTGGCATAAGTAAAAAGTAGTCTTTACAACCTGCAGGTTCCTGGATTATCTTTCCCAATAGGTCGAACTTTTAAATGCCGGTGATGTGTCCAGCATCAGAAGAAGGGCATCAGACGAAGATGGTACCTGGCCATGCCTGGCCTTTCTTCAATTAGCTTTTGCCTTGCACCTTTCTTGGTTGCATTTCCTTTTTTTTCTTGGTTGCATTCTTGTTTTCTTGGTTGCATTCTGGTTTTCTTCTCCTATGTTTGATGTTCCTAAATCCGCGAAAGCTCATCTAGAACACTCAGACCCCGTAGAGGAACAAGGGCAAAGAAAAGATAAGTATTTAGGTGCCACGCAGAGAAACTCGACATCAATCCTCGGAATCCAGCTAGAAGCTACTATGGAGGCCATCGCGGCTGTAGGTTGGAGGCCCCCCAAAAAACGAACGGAACCAGCTTCGCAACGAACGTCGCGTTCGAAGCTACGCGTCTCACCGGTAGACCCCACGCCGAAAGGAGCCGGTGAAGAGCCGGCGGGAGCTCCGGCGAAAGGAGGTGCTTCAGCGAGCGGTCTGGCCGGATGACATGCCGAGTGGGGTCAGAGCGAGCGGTGTGGCCGAGTGGGTCAACGACTTCCTGCAGATGTGGTGATGGGTGGAGTTTGCTAGTGTGTTTCATGGTGTTTCATTGCCAAGTGACTAGATTGGATCATTAAAACGGCAGCCTACACAGAGGAGCAGGATGTTGATGAATTGGGATCTAGGATGCTTGTGTCGTGCCGGAAGAGTTTTGAGAAGACTTAAGACAATCACATTTCTCTATCCGCATCCAATATGGCCATCTTTCATGATCCCTGGAAACATCTGCCAGTGTGTCTCCCCGGTACGTCAGGATACCCGCGTGGTCTCCGTGGCTTCCTTGGATGCGCCCTCCGAGCGTTGTGGTCGTTACGCCAAGTCCGATCGCTTGGAGGCGCCGAGCAGCGGCGTTTCGGTGGTCCCGTTCGGGTCGCCCCGAAACACGGAGGTGTTCAGGATCATTGTCCCAAGAGAGGAAGGCATCGACTTGAGAGGATTTGACACCAGAACTCGAAAGTGACTAGGGAAATGTATGGAACTTTCAGTTGCTCATTTAGTTGATGTTTGTTGTTTGAAGAGGCCGGAATCAGCCGGAACTGATGAATTTGACTTGTGCTCCAGGCCCCAGGTGAACGGCACGGCTACAGGATCTTCTGAGAGAAATCTTGTTGTTCTTCCTGAAAAACTTAGCTGCTGAAGGGTCTTGATCAAAGCAAGTCTTGACTCGACTGGATGCATTGTCATTCGAAAAGACCACGTTTTGACTTGCTGCTTCTAGAGATGACCTGTGCTTTCTTTGCACCTTGTGAGTACCGCGGGCGCACGTCCTCAAGTCCGGACCTCGCTGACCAAAGAAAAGGACGTAGATGGTGTGTGATGGTTGGCGCCAGGCCATGGGTGGAATCTACAATCTTCTTTGGCATATCTACAAACAGATCACCTCCAGTCTCATGGGGGGAATCTTCAGGCCAGACTCTCCAACATCTTCGAGTTGCCAAAAAACACGTCCAGTCATCGCTCACACCGTTTCGAGCCTTGCCATGTCGGCCGTCTTTGGCGTTCTCACTTGGCTGGGTTCAAAAGAAACCTTCGTGGAAAACGGCCGACGTAGCGATGATTGGAACTTGGACGAGCATGGCTTTTGCTTGCTGGAGGCATTTGGAAACTTCCCGATCGGCCCGGAACATTCCTTCATTGACTAGGTCGATGAACCAAAGTAGACGAACGCGGTTCTTGTTTAGTGTGACTTGCTGGATGTTCGAATGAAAAAGAGCGGTCCGTCTGACGGCCACAGGATATGCCCATGCCAGTGGCAGAGAAAGACCTAGTCCAGCATGCGGGGTTCGAGTGCCGTGGGCGGCCCGTGCTGTTTGGATTTGAGGGTGATGCACCTACGCTGCTCACCCCAGAAGCACGAGAGGCAGGGACATGCTGGTAACATGAAGGGCATCAAGGGAAGATGAATGTCAAAGGAATGCTGATGAGATGATGAGAATCCAAAGGCTGAGAAGTGATAGTAAGGAAGTGATTCACAAGATTGTGAACAGATGGATGTTCACATATGTTCGCTACTTGACTGTGACCAACATCACTAGCTTCACCCTTGGTGAAAAGCAAAAGACTCGTCATTTTCCATGGTTTGTATTGTTGTTTCTCGGCAACGAACAATTGGATCGAACATGATCTAAGAAGACCCGAAAGCCCACATCTTCCATCTCAGCCCTTCACAGGCCTCCTTCGGCCTGGATCAGTGGCTGGTCTACTACAAGCATGTCGCCACAGCAGCCAAGAAGGTCATTCCGGAGGCCTGGAGCGGCCTGCATTCTGCTGTCTTGAGAGGTCTCAAATTCAAAGATCTTGCAAGCAACTCAACAATTCCCTGCTCAGACTCGACCAAACACCTGGCTCAGGATATGTGAGGACGCTTGGGTGATTCGCTCCCCTCCCCCCAACAAAAGACACCTCCGCATCTCGTTGCGCCAACTTCGCACCGACCTTCGAACCCAAACTGGTACCGGGGACGGGGACGATGTTCCGAACGCTCCAAGAGTCGGGTCGCGGTTTAAACCGCGAGAGTCGGGGGTGTTTGTCGCGAGCCAACGTGGACTCGCGGACTCGCGAACTCGGGGGTCGCGGTTCGGCCTTTTTTGTGTCGGAGGCCGAATATGTGATCCTTTCGGGGCACTCGACGTTCTGTGCTGAGCTCTCACCACTGAGGCGGAGACATGGAGGAAACGGACAGAACGGAGGACCAAACGGAAGGCCCCCGTGAGACCGCTGCAGTCACTGCAGCAAGTTTTTGGGGTTGGTCCCATGGGAGGTTGGTTCACCAGCAGAATGACTTGAGGAGACATGTTTATGCTATCGGCTCTGAAACCGCGCTAGTAGTGGTTCGGGTGGGGCCTATTAACGTTCTTCCCTAAGTCTGCTGATTACCTAAATTTACACTGGACAAAATTTAGGTAATGTTTTTGATTTACTAAGGCAAATTTACCTAAAATTTTACGTAAATTGTAAAGTAAATCAATTTATGTAAAATGTAAATTAATTTAGGTCATTTAGTAAGTTAATTTAGGTCATTTAGTAAATTTTGTGACTATGATTTCATGTCTTTTCTTGCAGTGGTTTTTGTAAAACAAATATGGTTTTCTAAAGAAAAATCAGTGATCATTGTAGGCTCATCCAAAAAAGAGCACAACCATACCTGAGATCACACTTGTTTTTACGTAAGATTCACCACTGCCTTTACTTGAGCCAACCCTCTCTTACTTGAGAACAGCAGCACCTTTACTTGGAAGTTGGCGTTGCGCAAGTAACTTTTTGAACTTGGCCTTCTTGTTGTTTGGCTTTTAAGTTGGGCACACACTTGAACCAGAGGTGACGCAAGAGGTCGCGCGCAAAAAAAACCGGTCCGAACCCTGTGTTTTCGCAAATCGATGTCAAAAATGGTGACCCATTTTTGACAGTGATTTTAAGATAATTCTTGATCAGACAACAAAAAAATCGTGATTTCGCCTAGGCGAACACCCTTTTTTTGCCTGGATCTTGAAATTTGCACGACTACGTGCGCGGAAAGAGAGCCGCCGGGATGTTTATGAGTTGGATTTAGGATCCACGACCCTGTAGAAGGTGATTAACATCGTTAAGTCTATGAGTCCAGCCGTGGGGTGCTTGTGCGTGTGCCTTCCAAACAAGGCAGGTGGCTTTTGCACTGCGCTCCTGCTTTCTGGGGGCCATGCGATTACTGGGCAAAGAGGAGACACCTCCCATGGGTGCTATGCCGGACGCCTGGCATTGTATGTGGCAAACGGTTTGTTTGCTACGGTGGATTTTGAGGCACACCCAAATCATACTTTCTTCTCCCTACTATGCCTTGAAATACAATCAAGCAACAAAACCCAAGACTACTAGTAGCGTCCTTGCTCCTAGTAGAAATGCCCTTGTTACTAGCAGCTTCTTGTTCCTAGATTGGCCAGAAATTCCTGCCTCTTGAGATGTGTCCGCAAACAAAGGATTTTATCCATGCAGACCACACGGTAGAGCAGGGTGCACGTCTCTTGTCCACGGCCCTGGAAAGTTTTGGCGGCCTGAACTTCACTGGACGACGAGTTCTTTCAGTGAACTTTTGGAGGACTGGTGGAGTGCATGGTTGTACAGACATGCATAGGCTGAAAAGGAGATCGAAGCCCAGCAATTGTTAATGTATAAACTTCCAAGCTTCTGTTTTTGTTCATCTACGCAGGAATGCCAGAGCAAAAGCTCTCATCAAGAACCACCACATGGCTGTCGTCAACGCGCAGACGATCTCGGATGAGGAGCTTCAAGCATCCAAGTTTACCAACTACAAGATGGGTGGCTTAGAACAATACCACCTCACTCGCTTGAGCTCTAAGCAGAGATTGGTCTATTTCCCTGACATGCAGAACAGCGAGATTCTTGTTTTCAAGCAAGGGGCTTATGATGTCTCTGAGGCGAACGTGACACCCTTAGCCGAGCCACACAAGCATCATATTCTCCATACAGCCTTCTTGGATCCAACGGCGCCAAGGGGTGCAATTCCAAGAAAAGCCATTTGTTGTCCAGGTGTTTTGGTGGTTTTGAAGAAATGACGCCACTCATTGGAACCCCTGACCGGTCGACTCTGGCGAAGATCACCGAACGCTCAGGGGCGGTTAGCATCGTACAGGATTTGTCTCTCACCTTCACCTGGAGCCTTCGTCAATACGATCACTCCGGAGTGAGGGAGAATAGAAATCACTGAGGTCCCCGCAAATTCGCCCAACAAAATCATGGCGCTCATTTAGATTGTACAGGACGGCACAAAGCCAGCTGCGGCTGTGAAGCGTTGCATGATGCGACCGACCAAGCAAGCCGGTACGGACATGCCTCAGCACATGGTTGCAGGCGTTGAAAGTCACCGCAGAGACTCAGTCCGACGGAAGGATCCAATCAACCCAAAAGGGTGGAGAACTCACCACAGACATCGTGACATCCTCTAATTGTTGGCATTTGGTTCAGTTTACGTATTCAGATGGCTAATGGCATAGAATCTTTCTGTCAATTCAAGTTTGGGTGCACTATTGATGGGATTTGGTTCAGTGGGTTCATTTCTCCAGTAGTTTGGCTCTGTGGTTGATTCACTGCAGATCTCTTGATTGGGACTAGCATTGGGTCCCGAGCTCGCTGGGTTCGGGGGGGCCATCGACTCCCATGAGTTGATTCGAGGCTGGGCCAGCCTTCGTGGATTGCCATGCAGGCGCAACATGTCAGAGATTGAAGAACATTGAGCAGAAATACTGGCGACAGTCGCCAGTGTTTCTTCTTTTGCTTCTTGTCATGCTGCTACTGCAACTGTTGTTGCCAGTGCCATCATGTTCCATTGGCCGGCGGTGGTCGCGGCGGCGGTGGAGCTAGTTTTTTGTTTGTCGCGGTTGTTGAGTTGGACACTGTGTGTCATAGTGAGGTTTGATTATTGTTGACTCATCACACCTGTTTGAATAAAGTATAGATAGTTCATTCCCACATGTTGGATCAAACCAGCGTTGGTGATTGGAGAATCCTCTGAAAAAATAAGTTTCAAGACTGTGCAGTCTTCAATGATAGTAGGGTTGCATGGGTTGCAAGAGGGAAGTGTGAGAGAGGGAGAAAAAAAAAACAATGTTAGAAACCTTTGTTGCTATTTGTTATCTCCCGTTTACGCAGCCCTGATGCATTTTGTTGAGGTCACACTAACACCGAATTTTCCCGCATTGGAGGCTTCTTTGCTGCCTCTGCAAGTGCATCCTGCCAAGTTCTGACCAGGACAAAACTGACAGCTCTGTGTGTTGGTCAGTTTCCTGAGAGCAGTCAGACCCAGTGGTCCATGAGATGGTCCATAGAGTCTTTGAGAGGGTCTTGCGCAAGCTTCCTCCAGAAATGAAACCCGAAACGTATAGCTACTACTTGATCAGGCTAGGGCAGAAAAACCAAGATTGTCTTAAGATGCCTCTGTAAGGAAGGGAAGGAAGGGAGTGGTTTTGCTCGCCTGTGCCACCAGCGTCGACCTTGTATAGGAGACTCGAGAACCTTGGCAGATGGCAATGGCACAGACAAAGATGGCGCAGCAGACCGCTATGACGCAAGCAGTGATGCAGCAAGCTATGGCACAGCAATCAGCCATGGCACAGCAGGCTGCGCTTGCACAGCAATCAGCCATGGCACAAGCTGCAGTACTTCAAGCAGCACCAGGACGGGTTGCCTTGGATACCTTGGATACTTCATCATATCGAAAGATCGGAACATCTGACGAGATGAAGTGGTAACTAAATGGTCTAACTTTTTCAGCTGTAGAACTTCTATAGAATCATCTAGAGCTATGCTGAAGAACTAGCACGTCCCCCAGAAGGGGCTGGTTTGCCTGGTCTGAGACATCTGCACTGTGAACCCAGGACCAGTTTGGACCCACGTCACACCACAAGGTCCAGACCTTGAAGAAGGTGGGACTCTTTTATTTCGACGCGTGCGTTTGGACCGCTGCTTCGCCTGAAATCAATCCTTCGGATGTTAACGATTGAACAGAAGCCATGCATGGAATCGGACGCGGCTTCGAAGTCACGCCGCGCGAACGCGCCACGACCGTGAGACCGTTCCAGGTGCCGGACCCCCACGGCAGAAGGTCCGCAGTGTGCGGCTCCCTGAGGTTCGGAACCGTTTCGTTAGTTTTTGTTTAGGTTTAGAAAAGGGTTTATTATATTTTTATATTATTATACTGCTCAATATGACTTTATATGCCTTCTAGATCTTAGACCTCACCATTTTTGGACTGGCAGGCCAAGCTTGGATGGTTCTTCACATTGAAGCATAATATGGAACTTGATTTGGACCGTGGGATTTGCATGGATTTGCAGTGCTTCGAGTGTCTAATTTAAAACATGATGTTATCAGGGTGCTGGCGATCATATCGATAGACAGATCACCCGTTGATGAAAGAAGTCGTTCGCACCATGGCCTATGGCCTTTCATGGCCGCAAATAGCCATTCATGGCTCATGGCCATCCATGGCCCCACATTCCGTCCGCATCTCTGCATGCAGGTGACCCCACCACCTTGCCGCAGCAGCCGCCGCATCCAGGCGTGGCTGACGCACGACGGAGGACAGGTGAGGATGTGCGCAGTCGAAGGCGACGGTGTTTTATGCAGTCTTGAGAGTTCTAAGTGATTTCTCATGATCTTCGATGATTTTCGTTCATTGGCTGCCAGAAAGTTGAGGACGTAGGCAATTTGTGAGAATTTTGGTGCTTGTTTAGCTCACGGGTATTGGTCATTGGTAGTGACTGACAGCGTCACGCCTTTCTCGGTGGCTCTGATGTGCTCAGCAGTCCTCAGGCAACGACCAAGCCGAAGCCCGCGAAGAAGGCATTTTGGGGAAAGGGATGTGGGATCTGAAACGAAAACCAGGCGGTGAGATGAACCCTCAAGAATTCTTGGGTGCCAAAGAAGGAAGGCTCGCATTGCCGCATGGATGCAGACCAGGCCAGCGGGACCTATCGGGGTTGTTTTCCTGGTCAAACACAGACCCAACACTTCACCGATCGATCGAAGATTCCATCGTTTTTCCCGATTCAAACACAACTGAAACGACTCGATGAAGCCGGATGAAGCCGGATGAATTGGCGGGTGGACCAGACGCGTGGTCATCAAATCAGCGGAACGAGCGCAGGGATCGAACCGCTTGAAGCTGGGAGTTCTGAGTATGTCCAATCTAGATATGGGCTTGTCCTTTTTTAATCTGTCTAGTTTATGTAGGGATGGGATGTTCGACTGGGAAGCATACCCCGAATCATCGAAGCATACCCCATAGCCATAGTCAAACATCCCGGCCAACGTCCAAAACATGGTAACCCATATTAGCTCTGCAGGTGTTTTGTTGTCGCCAGATTCCGAAGTAAACCCTTGTGAAGAATGATTGTAGAGACTTGAAGAAGCCTTGCTGTAGCTGCTTCAAGCAGGAGAATACGCAACCTCACTGTCTGATTTAAAGCCACCAGCTGCTGTAAACACACCGTGGACAAGCGCCTACAACGAGTGCTTCTTGGTGACAACTTGTGAATACGATTTTCATTCAAGCTGTTTGCACTGACCCCGACTGTTGCTCCATTACCAATACCCTCCAAGCTTCCAGTCATTGTTGGGTTTAACGGCTCGGAGCATACAGAGAACTGTGCAGAAGTATGCGGTGCCGTTGGCCCCATTCATATGGGCCCATTTGGCTGGGAGCATGCATGACAGTAAAACTATGGCATGTTGGGGAATCTGCGGTTGTTGCTGTGTGACGTCAACGGATGTGTTGGCGATTCTGCTTCAATGTGTGTGTGGAAAAACCATTCGATGCGCAAGTTTTGGATGTTACCGTTTGGAAGGATCCGTTCCATCGTTGGATCTTGTCGGTGCGGCTCCTACTGCTTTGTTGAGACAAGAAGGTGCTTTGGCACACAGTTCGCTGGGTGTGGCAGCATGTCCACCTTGTCACAGTTGCGACATTCGCATGTGATGCAGTACATCCTCGAGGTCAATCACGGCCGGCGCATCAGCTTGGCCATCCTGTTCGGGTCCTGATGACAGCAAGACGTTTGGGCTAAAGTGCTCGCTGGGGATGTGTGCGAGTGCGCTCGTTTTGGCATGCCGGAAGGGGAGGTCATTCCGCAAGACGAAAGCAGTGACCATGGCTGCAGTCTTCCAACACAGTCTTTAGCGGGAACTATCAGCAATTTGCCGTGGACTGAGGCAAGAGTTTCTTTCTAAAGGATGCGCTCTTGCTTCAGGAAGATATGTGACTTTTCCTCCTCTTTTGCTGGCTCTGATGGCTGGTTTTGCCTGAGCTGTGTGGCATGATTTCAAACACTCTTTGCATCTCTTTGCCCTTTGTTTTACCGTGTCAAAGCACCACCGGAGTGTCTCAAGGCAGGCAGCTGCCAAGCAAAGGCTGAACTGAACTGAACCAGAAGCAAGACAAGGTG